CCATCTCTCCCCCAGCTACAGCTAAATAGCAGGATAAACTATAGCCTTAGTTGGCAACCAATCTAGGAGAAAGAAAACTGAATACAAACCAGCTTGGAGAGGGTCGAATTGTGTCAAGCTATCTTGCTAAGACACTCAGGTGCTGCTACATGTGGTTTCTCCTAAGAACCTAATGGATTATAGAAGTCATGATTGTGAAATTCTGTTTGTCAGATAAGATAGTTTCAGTATCTATATTGAGAAACAAAAACAGAGTTTTTTGATCAAATCCAATATAAATATATCTACATTCTCTTGCTTTCAATAATAAAAAACCAAAAAAACAGCGCAATTCGATTATAAAAGCTATGATGTTAGATTGATATTTTTTGAAGCTTGATAGTTTATGGCACAATGATCTAAAGAAGAAGAGCTTTCCTGCCTTGAAAATCAGCATTGGAGAAGTAAGATTTTATTTTGGTTTAAACACCAATCACAAGTGCCTATAAGAAATGCACAATTTCTTCAATCAACAAGCAAACTATATTTATTCTTCTCTGTCAGATGAGTTGAGGATTAGTGGGAGAGCTGAAAGAGAAGAAAGATAAATTAAACTCATTAGTGTAAAGACACTGAGAAGGGAGAAAATTAATTTCACATAAGAGGATAAATTAAGACTTCAAATCACTTGGGAGTAGACTAATAAGTAAACTCGGAGAATAGAGTCAGAACATGAACTTGAGAAACTAAAAAGATCCACAGTAAGAGACAACTTGAAGATAGTTCTGCTGTTTTTCTTACCGGTGATAATTGCAAAGATGGAAATTATTTACCTGTGGATGAAGTTGTATTGTTTTTTTTAAAACTGATAACACTTTTGTGTATTTTTAGATATATATGAATTTTTCAGGTTAATAACTTTCCTCAAAACAACAAAGCCTGTTATTAAATGGTCTATCATCCAACATCTTAATTCAAACATACTATCTTAAATATATGACATATTTGGCAGAGGAGGGGCACACTCAACAAAAAATTGAAAATTGCTTTTTTCACTTCAAATTATTCATTATATCATATCCAAGTATTTAAAAAAAAATTAGAGCCAATTACACAATATTTCACGCTCAATTTAGGTTTATAGTTTGTAACCAATGCAATGAGATGAGGTAATATAAACCGTAGATTTGTCTGTGGAATATCATTACATTATTGTTACATAATGTTATAGTGGAACACACCTATTCTATAGTTAATAGGCTCTACCACCTATAATAAGTAGGAGTAGTAAGAGTAACAAGTCTGTCGGTAAGTCACTCAAGGAGTTGGTCAGTCAGTCGATGCTGAACGACCGTTAGTCGGATATTAAAGTATCAGCCACCACAACTAGATTACTGCATTATACCTATTATATCAAGTTCCTAAAATTTTGTACGTCGAACCTATTTTAGGATCGAATTAGTACAAATACAAGCCTCCACTGTGAAACTACTGTACAACACATAATTACATTAAAATCATTAATGTTTTTTGGCAAAAGCATTTTATTTTTGGTCATATATTAATTTAATATATTCCTTTTTACAGGATTTATTTTTGAAATGGAATAAGATCAATCTAAATTACAGAATTTCATCATTGCCCATCAAAATGACTGGAGGAAAATGATCTAAAAACAACAATGGAAAAGAGAGGTAACAAAGCGTAAACGAAATAGCTTCAGTTTGTTCAACTTAGGATTGTAGCCAAAGTATTTTTAAAATGCTGCCAAGTAAATACCAAATTGCTATAAATTGCTGTTTTTTTTTAATCTCAGAATTCATGGGAGAATTGAGCTCCAATTTCACATTTATTCATATCGATTCCCTAATATAGGTTTTACTTAATTAGCTATTATGTTTCTCTAACTCTTCAAAAGTTGAATGTTTAACTAATTCTAATTTCTATTTTCCCATCTTTACACTATATTAATTTTATCTTATAAATTGTCCCGTTCTGTCACCAATGAAATAAAAATAATTGTCTGTATGGAAAATAAGGATCTACATACATCAAATTGTCTTTAAATTAAGTGGCAGCAGAAGAATTATCGTTGAACTTTTAAAAGGTAAGCTTAAGCATTAATTCAATACTTAAATGCAGTGATCAATTATGAGTTCTCCTGTAGTTTATTGATGCAGATTGCATCTAATCCTCCCTAGCTATTGTGATGATGGCCGAACCAAGAGTTCTCCACAGGAGGTAACTTAAATGCTGCCTGATAGAGCAGCTTTTAAGCGAGCTTAAAATTTTAACCTAGCTGCAATTGTGGATACAAAAGGAAAATAAAGTTACTCCCCTTGAAAGCAATGATAATGGCTTGTATAAGATATTAATATTTATATTTTTAACCTCGCATAATCTGGCAACCCTGAATCTGAGCTCAACAAAAATTGTTCCCCATGCCTAACTTTTCTAGGGCTTTTGAATGAGCTATGAATCATTGAAATCGGAGCAGTAGGAGTGAAGAAGTTACTTGGACACACACACAAACCCTGTACTTTATATATAAGATTATATTTAATGGATACACATGTTTGAGTAGATACCCCACTGGTTAAGCAGTGTAAATTTACATGCATTCAAGAGTCATAATAAAGAAAATATGCCTTTTGGCAGGGTTTGAACTTACACCACTCTTTGAACAAGTGTCACTTCTTGTCTGAAGATCATCTCTTCAATTTGAGATGGTGAGGCAGTGACCACATAAGTGACTCAAAATGTATGCTTCACTGATACAGGCTTTCCTAAATATATGGTAGACAAAAGACTTGTCTATCATCATGTTTATCTGGTCCTTAACTCTCTCTCTCTTTCATATATATTTTTGTGATGTCAATGAACACTTATTGCCACTTTTGTAATGTCAACGAATACTCATTGTCACTTTCGTAATGCTTGTTGTAGTAGAGATTTTGTAATCACAGATACAACTATAGTACGCTGTTGAACAATACTGATGTCAGATCCTTCGAATAACACTCACACTAATAGTACTTGCTTGATAATACTCGCTCAAATAGTAATCTGTATAGTGATCTGAATAGAGAAATATTATAGTGAATAGTATAGAGAATAGTGGTCCATATAGTAGTGGAGGATAGAGTAGAAATGGTGATCATTTAGACGTCACACAAGTTCCTACTTATGTGTTTACTCTGTGGTCATGTGATTTAATTAATTCAATAATTCAATAATGTGATCACCTGTGTTTGCTCACTGGTGATCTATGTTCAAACTCAAATTTCAGCAGCAACATTTATTACTACATAATGTGCATGCACACACACACACACACATATATATATATATATATATATATATATATATGAATTAGTGAGAGAGAGAGAAACAAGTACGTTCGTTGCTGATCAAGCTCTCTATCAAATCAAATTTAGAATTGCAAAATTTTCCTTCTTCTAGACCAATGTCAACCATGGTTGAAGGGGGCAGTCTGTCCTAGTATTTAACTCATAGCTGGGGAAGAAAAGATGGAATTATATTGATCCCAAGGGTATTTGTGCTGAAGTGAATGTAATAAACTGAACTGGAATTTGAACTCAGATCTTCAATTTCTTATTCTGAGCAACTATCTATTACACACACATAAACACACATTAAATTTTCAGTTTAATTTTGATCTGAAATTTTCAATGTATATATTTTACATGATTAATATTCACTACTTGATTAACTTCATTAAAAAAGGAGACTAAGTTGAAAAAAGTTATTGTGTAAAGGTTTCAACAATCTTTAATATAATACAATAAAAAGTTGCAGGTGAGATTTGAACTCAGAGCAATTCACTCTCATGACCTATACTCGAATTCTCTGAGCTTAGGAAGTGTAGAAACAGTAAAAAGATTATTGCAATGCAAAACAAAGATTTTGACAATGTCAACAAAGAAAATATTTACTTATTATCTCTCTCTTGATCACCAAACTTTGTTTGAGATAACAAGTTAAAATAAAAACATGACAGAATCCACAAGCAGGATTGTGTACTCGTGACTACATTTTAAAATAATAATGATAATGATCTAAGATTATTTCAGTTTTAAAGTCACCAATTTAGTTTTAAAAAGAGCAAGAATATAGTCAGATCAAGATCAAGAAAACAAAATCTCCAGTAATTATCAAAATGCAAGTGAAAAAGCAAAGTACTAATTTGAATTAAGCCACTCTTTCTTTCACTATACATACAACCAAGCCAGCCAAAAATAACTATAGAGAGAATAACTTAAAAACATATCTCTGCTTGATCTACATGTGTCAGGGACCATCTGTTGACTTGTCAGTATTCATAGATTAATGTCAGCATAATTAAATTCAACCTCCATAACAGGTGTTCACCATTTTGAATAAACACAATTCTTCTTTAGATATCAAGCTTTCGGGAGAGTTCTGTCAGATCTTTTACAACCATTAAATGCTGTCTTTTACAAGAGAATATTACTATTCAATAAAACAGATGTCTGTTCCAATCAGAAAGAGTATGAAGTAAATATTTGGACAGCAGACCATTCCTCCTGGAGAAAAGAAACCATGTTCATAATGTTTACATCAGAAAATAAGATGAATGAAACGAATCAAAGTACATTTCAACTATTCACTAAGACCTAGATTTGTAACAACTTACTTTTTACATTTTCCATACAGTCAGTACAACCTTAAAAAAAACTTGTTATGTTTTAAAATTATAAGTTTTTGCTTTACCAGTTAACTTAAATTAAAATTATTTTTTTAATCAAATTCATCCTATGTAAGGCATTAAAGCCACTAAGACACAACAGTTTACTGGGTATGAAAGAAATAGAAACCAGAAACATTAACGAGTGAGAATAATAGAAGAGTAATCAGGAAGACAGCAGATAATGATTGACACTGTGTAAGTGAATATAACAAATCCAATAGGAATTGAAATTCAGTTTTACAATTAACAATTCTGAGCCCTTATCCAATACACCAACCACACATCCAAGCTTACAGCACATGGTATTCCCAAGTGGTCACTCATCTATCTACTGACCAGGCTTGACATTGCTTAACTTCAGTGATTGTACAGGAACCAGTGTTTCAATGTGATGTGTTGGTAAGCCTTCTCGAAGAAGGACATCTGAAAATTCAAAAACATGGTGAAGAAAACATGATACCAGTTTATCTTTTCCATGAAGTTATAGCAATTTATATATCATAAAGAGAAGGGATCTGTGGAGAGCACGTTATTATGGCTTTAAAAATGAACATTTTAAGATATCTGTATATATTATATGTTAATATATACTTTTAAAAATGTCCATTTTTAAAGCCAAAATTTCAATGGCATTTACTATACGACTGACATTATTCGGACTATTGTCCTCGTCTTTGTTTCCATATTTATCATAACATTTTGGCTGTTGTACACTCCAGCCTTCTTCAAGTGGTTGGAATGTCGAACTGAACGCTTTATTTTGCTCACTGGGGTAGATTGTTCTAGTTCCATGTCTAATGGATGTCAGTTATCAGTTATCTTCTGTTAATTCCCCTCTCCAAGTTCTCCCAGAACTCTTTAGGTCCTGTCACTGGATCTAACTAACGCCTTTACCCATGTGCCATATGTCCTTGAGGACATCTGTGTATGAATTACTGGGTATTATGAACCTAATGTCTTCAGCAACCATTTCTTACCAGTGCTCATATTGCAATTTCTTGCTGTTATCATTGCATGTTTTTTAAGAGAGCTCATATTGCAATTTTCATTGTTGTTATTATTGCTTTTCTCTAGCACTCCTTATTACTGGTTCCCATATTGTATTCATTTCTATACTTGGTTGGCTCAGGAGATTTTTGGGGCCTAGCATATGCTGATTCCTTAAGTTTATGAATTTTCCAATGATGTTCTTTGTCTATGATTTCAACCTGAGGGCGGTGATCTCCCTTTTCTCTCTATATGTGGTCAGCCACGCCTGATTTATACCACTTCCACTCGTGTTACAGCTTTCTGTTCTTGAAGCCTTACCTTAAGGGGGTGGTCTGTCTCCCCTTTATATTTCTTTCCACAGCTGCACAGGATGGTTTGTCTTACACAGGTCTAGACATAGCACATAGAACTAGAACAGTCTACCCCAGCGAGTGAAATAAAGGGTTCAGTTTGACATTCCAGCCACCTGAAGAAAGCCAAAGTGGACAATGGCTGAAATGTTGTGATAAATATGGCAACAAAGATGAGGACAATAGTCCGAATGTTGTAAATAGTGTAAATAACACCTCATCTTTAAAGACAGGCATTTACTATATATTTTCAATTACATGTTCTGTAAATTGTTTGCATATAAATTTCACAAGTCACAAATACATATTGGAAAACATTTTACTGATTCAGTGACACCCTGAGACAGTCTCAGTCTTATAAACTTATAACAAGTTGTATCATAGTTTTGTGAATGCAAATATAATTCTTCTTTTAAATGCCATATCCCTTTAGGACATGTACAGTCATGTCTCTCCACAACTTCCTATCCTTTGTAGTTCTAATGTTTGTCACCTTACTATCCTTCTCAGTCTGTTCTAGCATTTATTTACACAAGCTTATTAGGTAGGTTACTCACTGTTTCTCTCTACTTTTCTTGCCTTCAATATGCCTAGTGAGTATCAAATTCTCCTTTCATTTTTTCTCATTATGCATTCAAAATATTTCATTTATATCTTTTTGATTCTAAATACAAGTGTCCATTTGTTCATATTTTCTTTAAAAGTTCCTTGTTGCTTACATATCCTGTCCATGGTATTTCCTGTAGAACCACATCTCAGTTGCCTAAAGTCACTTCTTCATCTGTGAGGAAATAATCTAGTATTCACTAATATATAGGGGGACTGATATTACAGAGGAATTCAACACTCTTTTCTTTGTTTCAAACAAAATTTTCCTGTTTATTTTGTAAGGCATATTATAATATTCTAATGTATCCTCAGATTTGGGTGTCACATTTTCTGTTTCAACACTTCACAAATAGTTAAATTTCTGTAGCTGCTTAATTAAAAGAAATTTCCACAAAAACACCATCTGTATAATTGTAATGTTATCATTATATATTACAAATGAAAAGACAGAATTTTGAAGAATAGACTGATTTTCTAATATATACTATTACTGTGTTCGTTAATTTTTCACTCCAAACTTCATCAATTACTGTTGGTCATTAGGTGTGTGTGGCCTCAGGGTTCTCTCCAAATAGAGACCCGACATTCTTGTGCTTATGTAAGAGACTCTAACTCCCATTTAATTAAGTGTTTATAACTGTTATACTGGTTTTCCCATATGTACATATCCCAGGCACAGCTGGGTTGACCATGTGTCACATATCATGACAGACATTGACATAGAATGAAGTGTGGATCTCTACCCTCAGCTACGATATCATCTCTCAGGTCAAGCCTGTACTTGACTTCACAGAAGGACACTGAATGCCATATCTATTTTAGTATTATCTGAAGTAAGCGATGTAGTACATATTGTTAAAAATTATGTGCTATACTTTTTTTAAAGGGCGAGCAATAACTGAGCAGTAATTGTGAGCTGGGCTGGGCAGGGCAGGGCAGGGCAGAGTGTATTTGGGCTTGGTGGAAACAGGAAGAGCAATAACTGAGCAGTAATTGTGAGCTGGGCTAGGCAGTGTGTATTTGGGCTTAGTGGGAACAGAGTAAGAACTGAGCAGTAATTGTGAGCTGGGCTAGGCAGTGTGTATTTGGGCTTAGTGGGAACAGAGTGAGTAAGAACTGAGCAGTACTAAAAATAAAAACTAGCTGTGATAACCATAGACATGTGCAGTGGAACAAGAACAGTCTACCCACATAGATTAAATAGAGGGTTCAGTTCAGAATTACCTTTAGGTAACCCAGATCAATAACACCTGATGAAGGCTAGGGAACACAATGGTCAAAATGTTGTGATAATAATAAGAAAAAAGTTGAAGACAATAGTCTGAATGCAAATAGTATAAGTAATGACAACTCCTTATCCCAGAAATTCAAACGGAAATTATACTTTTTTGTTTCTTTTTTTTGTACTTATAAATAGATACAGTAATGGGATTGATTGGAAAAGTGTTTGATCAAGTACATCACAAAGAACTGTTAGCTAACCACGACATATTTGGGAAGGATATTAGAATAATCCAGAAGCTATACTGTCAGCAAATTACCTGTACACGGATAGAAAATGAATTCAGTAAACACACACAAACGGAAATGGCTGTAAGATGTGGATGTGTCTTTTCACTGGATTTATTCAACCTAAACAGGGAGATGATTCTGAGACAATTACAAGTCCTAACAGGATTTATTAATGGTGGCTACAAGCTTAACAACTAAGTATGTAGACCACACAGTGTTGATAGCAGATACAGCCTGGAAACTACAAGAACTCCTATAGAAGGTAATGAAGAAAACTGAGAAGAATGGACTAAAAATTGATTACAGGAAGATGGAATACATGATTGTTGGCAAAAAGAACAGCCCAACATACACGCTACAAATTGGAGATAAAGAACAAAAGTTTGAATATGTGGGAATTTTTTTAACAGATAACAGAAAGTGCAATCAGAGTTATTACATGTCAAATCAACAAGGGTCTGACCATTTCTGACACAGATTTTTAAAAACATTTTATACACTTATAGAGCTTTCTGATAGAAATTGAATGGTATTGATGCAGAGTGGCATTTTTTGCAACATCTTATAGGAAAGAACCATGTGATGGGTTAGGTGGCACTATTAAAAGATTAGCAGCAAAAGCAAGCCTGCAGCAACCCTATAATGAACAAATAATGACACCAAGACAGATGCAAGAAAAACATTTCAGGCCTAAATATTTGTATTCCTCAACAGATGAATGGACAAATGAAACAAAAATCTTAGAAAATAGATTAAAAAAATTATCTTCATTATGTCACTTTTTCATATAAAAATCTATTTGTTGAATAATAAAAATGTAAACAAAACCAAAAATAATTATGTTTATTTTCCACCAAAGTGGTCAACATTTAACCACAAATAACAAAAATTATGTTGATTTTATGATCATAGTTCTTATGTGAATATTAACCAGCATTTAAAGAGCTTTCTAAAGATATACAACTTGACCATATTGGGCGATATGAAAATGTTAGCATATGGTGGCAAATACCAAAATCCTCCATTTTGAATTTGGTCCAACCCAGTAAAATCGTTGTAAGTCAGGCCACAGTCAAAAGTCCACAAAAGTTTGTACATATCTTGCCATGAAGCAAATTTGTTGTCACATTCTAAAAATAATTAAAGATACATTTTTGAGAAATTAACAGTCAAATGTTAAGGTCAAGATCAAATTATGTTAGTAAACCTTTAAACAAACAAATACATAGATCACCTTTTAGATCTATTCAAGTACTTTAAAATGGTATATAATTTAGCTTTGTAGGTGAAAAAACAACAGATATTGACATTTACACTTTGTGACTATTTTCCAAAATTCACCTTTCTGGCAAGGGTCATATCTCAAGAACCCTTTGACCAAGAGATGTAAAATAGGTACCATTCAATTTATATCATGAAGCTCTTATAAGTGTAACAAATTTTTAAGAAATCTGTGTCGGTGATGGTCAGACTCCTGTTGATTTGATATGGTATGACTCAATACTGAAATCAGAAGGTGCATTGGGATAGCAAAAGTTACCATCCAAAAGCTTAACAAAGTATTAAGAATTAGAAAATTTTGTTAGAAACAAAGAAAAGAGTACTGAATTTTTGTGTAATATCAGTACTCCTGTATGACAGTGAGTGCTGGACAATCTCCTCACCAATGAAGAAGAGACTTAAAGCAACAGCAATGTGGTTCTACAGAAGGATGCAGAAAATACCATGGACCAAACATATGAGCAACAATTAAGTTTTAGATGAAATGGAAACAAAAAAGATGCTACTTAACATCATAAAGAAGCAGTTGAAACAGGACTTGAAAATTTGATCCTCACAGGAGAGATTGAAGGCAAGAAGGGTAGAGGAAAACAACACACAACCTACCTAGTGAGCTTGAGTAAATGGATGGTGGAGCAAGACTTAG